AAAGAACAAGAAGAGATGTAGAGAGACCAGTTAGGAAGCTATTTTGGCAATCCTGGTGAAGGTTGAGGTGGCCTCGATTTAATTGGTGACAGTGGCAAACGGGAAAAAGTGGACATTTGACAAAGTTTTGGAAAGTGGAAAGTGATAAGAACTTGGTAGCACACTGAATATTGGTGAGGAGGGGCTATGGGTAATGAGGTAATTTTCTATCCGATCCTAATGGCAGGTAGGGAACCCTGCAGGAGGACCAGGTGTGGGACAAACAGAAAGTTTAGTTATAAACATTGAAATTCCTAAGACAGATGTATAATTTGTTTGGCATGGGGCAGTAGATTAAAAGGATAAGCTGGAGTCTGCCTGTAATCAAATCCCAGTTCTCCCACTTTCCTGCTGTGAGGCAGGGTATTTTGCTTCTCTAATACAGTGATTCTCAAAGTGTACTCTCTATATACCAACAACAAAGAACTTTCTAGAGATGCAAATTCTCAGGCCTTACCCTGGGCCTACTGAATCAGATACTTTGGAGGTAGAGCTCAGCAAAGTGTCTTTTTGCAAGTCCTTTAGGATGAGTGAGAGTGTAAAAATCAAGTAAGCAACGTGAAGCGCTTAGCTCTTTGCCTGGTATATATAGGAGAACTCTGAACTATACCTAAATATGATGTTTTAAGTTTCAACTTCCAACTGGATGCACCTAGTACCAAGGTGTTCGAGCTGGAAAGAAAAATGATAAGCTGTCAGAATACAGATGTTATTGTCATGGGAGTAAACCGATGAGACCATAAGGAAAGACTCTGACAAAGTATAGTGAAGAATCTCTCATTTACTAAGTTAGAAAAGGACACAAAGATGTTTTAAGGGAAAGGTAATCCATTTTATCAATTCTTCCTAGAATTCAAGATAAGGACTGAAAAATATGCATAGCTTTCATTTCATTCACTAAGCACCTAGGACAGTGGTTCTCAACCTTCCTAATGCTGTGGCCCTTTAATACAGTTCCTATGGGTGGCGACCTACAGGTTGAGAACCACTGACCAAGGAAGTCACTGGTAATTTTACTGAGAGTGATAGTGGTGAGCTGTGGTGGGGCAAAAACAAGAGTGGCCTATGCTGTGAATAGAAAATGATATTTATGAAAAAAGTAAACATTTTTTAGAGAAATGTGGCTCTAACTCTAAAAGAGGAGAGTGAAAAATAACAATTGCTTCTTTTTAGAATGCGAAAGTAACAAATATTGACAGGAAGGAGTCACTAAGAACAAGGCAAGTTAAACATACTGAAGATATATCAACAAAGAGAACAAATTATCAATTGTAGGATTCTTTTTTTTTTTTAATTGAATGGTAACTATGTACGTTAATGCATTTCTGGGGTACAGAGTGGTGTTTTCTAAAGAAAGATGGACAATTTTAGGATTCTTAGGCAGTCTGGGATCCAGGAGCACAGGTTGGGTACTTAAGAGACAGCAGAGATAATCTGCATATGGAAAAAAGTTTAAAGCCAGAAATTTAAGGACATTCTTGGCTGTTGGCTTTTATTTCCTCTGTAAAGTAGTAGTATTAATAGAGTGTGAGATTATTACCTAGAGTAAACAGGTTGGAAGTCATGAGAATAATTAAGCAGTTTATGTGGAAGCAACAGTACACTCCTTTGCTAACCCCCTGGGTAGTGTACCGTGGCATCACAGCTCACAGCAACCTCCAACTCCTGGGCTCAAGCAAGTCTCCTGCCTCCGCCTCCCAAGTAGCTGGGACCACAGGCGTCCGCCACAACGCCCGGCTATTTTTTGGTTGCAGCTGTCATTGTTGTTTGGCGGGCCCGGGCTGGATTCGATCCCACCACCTTAGGTGTAATGTGGCTGGCGCCTTAGCCACTTGAGCCACAGGCGCTGAGCCACTATCATTGTTCTTTATGGTAATACATTAGTCTATCTTCAAGCAGCTTTTCTTCAGAATTCACTTTTTCTATATTTCTCTAATTAACCATGACTTATCGTTAAAAAATCTTATTCACAGATTAAAAAAGTAAGAAAAACGAAGAGAATGAGATTAAAACACTCAGTTATAAATCTCAAGTCTCCCTCAAATTTTATATTTTTCTTCTTCACATGAACAGTAACAATATTCAACCACTTCACAAGGTTGCAGTGACAAGTGATATTACTATATTAAAATACTGGGTAAATTATAAAGTATAACATAAAACAAGGTATTATTAAGAGAGGTTAATTCTGGTCCCTTGAACCAAAAGGAGACAAGAACCCTTCCAAATCATCTGGGGAGAAGCGCCTGCCTATTAATGACCAGTAGATAAAATGTGGTGTGTATACATCATGGAATATTATGCTATGCCATAAAAAAGGAAGAAATAATGTCTTTCATAGCAGCTTGGATGGAACTGAAGCTATTATACTAAGAGAAGTAACAGCAAGAATGGAAAACTAGATCCTGCATGTTCTCACTTAAAAGCAGTAGCTAAGCAATGGGTACACAGGGCCATCCCTCTGGACACTAGAGACTCAGGAGGTAAGGAGGTGGTGAAAAACGAATAACTACCTTCTGGGGGCAAAGTGCACTAGTTGGGTGGTGAGTACACCAAAACCCTAGACATCACCATATATAATTATCCATGCAATCAAAAA